GGGTTCGATGGGGGCCCCAGCAAGCCTAAAGAAGCAGTCGGGGGGTCTATATCCTCATCTGTAAAGTTGAGGGCAATGAGCGCCTCCAGCGATCCCATAGCTTTGTGCTGCTCGCATGCCTGCTGCTGCTGCTGCTGCTGCTGCTGCTGTTGCTGCTGTTGCTGCTGCTGCTGCTGAGAACAGGCAGGAAGAGAGCTTGAGTCAGAGAAAGAGATATTTTAAGATTTTTTATGCAAAAATATATACATATAAGAGAAGAAGAAGAAGAAATGAGGGGAGAGTAACGCAGCAGCTGCAGCAGCAACAGCAGCAGCAGCAGCAGCAGCAGCAGCAGNCAGCAGCAGCAGCAGCAGCAGCAGCAGCAGACTCGGGTGTACAGACACCTCAGCGTGGTGGCGTAATAGCGCCCAGTAACTTCAACAGAAGAAACAAAAAAATAAATAAAAATAAATAAATGTTTCTGTTTGTATACAAATTAATTTAATTATTTATCAGCGAGTAGCTGCTGCGATGAATTTGTGTAGCAACACTGTGCTGCAGCAGCAGCAGCAGCAGCAGCAGCAGCAGCAGCAGCAGCGGGAGCAGCAGCAAGCCGCCTACTGCTGCAGCGGCAACAGCCAATCTGCTGCTGCTGTGTAGCATCGTTTTCTTATAAATTAAATAACTAAGACAAATTAAAACTATTATATCAATGCCTGCTGCAGCAGCCGCAGCAGCTGCAGCAGCTGCAGCAGCTGCAGCAGCTGCAGCAGCTGCAGCAGCTGCAGCAGAAGCAACACTGTAGGCTTATAATCATAGCGAACCGCTATTTGCTGCTGCTGCAGTTGCTGCTGCTGCAGTTGCTGCTGCTGCTACTGCAGGTGCTGCTGCTGCTACTGCAGTTGCTGCTGCTGCAGTTGCTGCTGCTGCTGCTGCTGCTACTGCAGTTGCTGCTGCTGCTGCTGCTGTCCTGCCGCATCTTCAGCACCACGCCCGCAGCAGCCGCAGCAAGTACTACAGCAGCTGCAGCAGCAGCATGAGCAGCACGATCTGCTGCTGCTGCTGCTGCTGCTGCTGCTGCGTTGCGTCAGTGAGGGGGCCCTGCATGCAGCTGAGCCTTTCGGGTGCCTTTAGCTGTTAGCTGCTGCACTTGCTGCAGCGCCTCGGAGCTGGGGACGAGCCCCCACAGCCCCGCGTCTATCAATGACGCCAATGTTTGCTGCTGCTGCTGCTGCTGCTGTTGCTGCTGCTGCTGCNTGCTGCTGCTGTTGCTGCTGCTGCTGCTGCTGCTGCTGTTGCTGCTGCTGCTGCTGCTGTTGCTGCTGCTTGTGAGGACGGTGCGGTACGGGGGCTTCAAGCCCCACCTGCAGCAAACAAACGAAAAAGAAAGAGGGGGATGCAGCGAAGCAGCAGCAGCAACAGCAGCAGCAGCAGCAGCAGCAGCAGCAGCATATGTTGCTGCTGCTGCTGCAGCAACAGCAACAGATATTCTGCTGCAGTTTAGAGACAGCTGCTTACCTGCTGCTGCTGCAGCGCGAGTCTCAGCAGCAAATCGACGAAATCAACGACAACAACTCCCTCTTCCCCTCTGCTGCTGCTGCTGCTGCTGCTGCTGCTGTTGCTGC